ACTATACTGTCTTGATGATTACAGCTTTGTAGTAGAGGCTGAAGTCTGGGATTGTGATGCCTCCCATTTTGGTTTTCTTTTTCAACATTACTTTGGCTATTCAGGGTCTTCTCTGGTTCCATACAAATTTTAGAATTGTTTGTTCTAGCTTTGAGAAGAATGCCAGTGCAATTTTGATTGGGATTGCAATGAATGTGTAGATTGCTTTGGGTAGTATTGACATTTTAACAATATTTGTTCTTCCAATCCATGATCATGGAATGTTTTTCCATATCTTTGTGTATTCAGTTTCTTTCATAAGTTTTCCATAGTTTTCAGCGTACATATCTTTTACATCTTTGGTTAGGTTTATTCCTAGGTATTTTATGGTTCTTGGTACAGTTGTAAATGGGATCGATTTCTTGATTTCTCTGTTATTTCATTATTGGTATATAGAAATGCAACTGATTTCTGTACATTGATTTTGTATTTTGGGGTACCTGGGTGGCTCAGTTGGTTAAGCATCCAAGTTCAGCTTAGGTCATGATCTCACAGTTCGTGAGATCCGGGTGGGGTTCTGTGCTATAAACTCAGAACCTGGAGCCTGCTTTGGATTTTGTGTCTCTCCTTCTCTATCTGCCCTTCCCCTGCTCACACTATATCTCTCTCTATCGAAAAGAAATAAACATTTAAAAAAATTTTTAAAGAATCTTACTTTATTTTGATAGCACACAGTACATAGATGTTTTATTTACCACTTTATAGATATATACAGTTGACCCTAAACAATCAGGGGGATTCAGATACTGACACACACCCCCATGCAATTAAAAATCCTTATGTAACTTTTGAGTCCTTCATAGCTTATCTACTAATAGACAAGTGTTGATCGGAAGCCTTACCCATAACATAAAACGGTCAGTTAACATGTATTTTGTATATGTATAATAAACTGTATTTTTACAATAAAGTAAGCTAGAGAGAATAAAATGCTTTTAAGAAAATCATAAGGAAGAGAAAATACATTTACAATATTGTACTGATTGAGGCACCTGGGTGGCTTAGTCGGTTGAGCATCTGACTCTTGATTTTAGCTCAGGTCATGATCTCACAGTTCATGAGTTTGAATCCCACATTGGGCTCCACACTGACAGTGCAGAGCCTGCTTGGAACTCTCTCTCTCTCTCGCTCTCCTTCTCTGCCCCTCCCATGCACTGTCTCAAAATAAACTAAAAAAAAACAGAACAATACTGTACTGTATTTATCAAAAAAAATCTGCATATAAGTGGACTTACATAGTTCAAAGTCCTGTTTTTCAGGGGTGACTATAAAATCACTTGCTGACATAGACAGCCCTGTACTCTGTAAAGGATTTCCAGTAATGACCAATAAGAAATTTAGAATATATCAAGGTGTATATGGGGTAGATGTAAGGTTTGGTTTTCTTCTCCTTTTCCATTACTTGCACCTGGACTAGATCCACTCTAAATCATGGTTTTCTATCTCCATAACATTTACAACGATCTGTCAGTAGAACAGGCAACCTGGTGAGGTTGAGGTGGATATGTTCAAGCATGGAAAGGATATCCACTAGCAGATGTTATAGAGAAAACTTAAATAATAGATGGTAGCTATACTGCATCTGTGAGTCCCAAACAATAATATGGGTACCATATCTATATACAACATTTATACTATAGCTTTTAATTACAAGTGTGTCTAATTTTGATGTTTCTAGCAATAAAATGTAACTGTAATGATAGTACTGTAATGCATTTATATTATCCTTTACTACTATAAACAGTAAAATTTATAGTATTTGTGTAGTAGTACAGTATTTATCAAAATTGATCAGTATTTCATTTCAATTTTCACGTAATTATTTTCGCTTCTTTGTTCACTGTAATAACAATAACTTACAATAAAATGTAATTTTGCATCTCTCTTGAGTCTTCAAATGAAATTTAAATATCTAATAAGTTATATCTTGGGCTTCCATAGTAGAGTTAGGAGGCATGACCTTTGTGTGACTTATCCACTAAGGGACATTTTGGGGACATATCTAAGGCAGAGTTAAAGACTTCTAAAGATAGAGTAGGGGAGAAGAAATCATCTAACCCCCAAGGACAATACATCTTTATTTTTTAAATTTTAGTTCCAGTATAGTTAACATACAGTGTTATGTTAGTTTCAGGCGTACAACATAGTGATTCAACAATTCTATTGAGGAACAATATATTCCTCATTGCTCATCATGATAAGTGTACTTTTAATCCCCTTCACCTATTTCACCCATCCCTGCATCCACCCTCTGGTAACCATCAGTTTGTTCTCTATAGTTAAGAGATATACATCTTTAAATTAACACTCACTAAACAACCTAACTTAATAGTTAAATTATAAACCTAGGAAGATAGGAAATTCCGTGAACATTTGTATGAAAAAATAAATGAACAGACTTCAGTGTGTTACAATCATTGACTGCATATCAGTGGACTGCTGATAGATAGCTGAGGTTTGGCAATAGTTTTTTTATCTGGACATTTGAGATATAATGGAATTTTGTTTATACAACTAAGTGATGTTAGCCAACATAAGGTTTAATAATGGTGACAATAGCAAACATTAGGTTTAGTAATAGATTCTGATCTATAGCTTTAACAGCCATAAAGAATACTTAAATTAATATGTCATTTTCTAACTATCCTGACTGATACTTGGGGAATTTACTGGAAATGTTCACTTTTCTACTGTTATCATTGTTTAAATTATAAGATTCTAAGTCATCATATCAAAAAGGTGATGAGCATGCTTAGACACAGGGGTTGCTCTTAACATAAAACATTGCTGTATGTTGTACAAGGCACTATCTCAAATTATTTAAGAGTAGCCTTGGTGCTAATACATTATTGGGTTTGGGGTCTGAACACACTTGTAGCAAATGTAAAAGCTGCAGAATAAGACACAAATTTGGTTCATAGTACCCAGATACTCAAAAAAAATGAGACCTTCTTAAAGCCCTTGAGTCATTTGCCCCAGAATAGGAAGTTTGCTATTCAAAAACTTTCTTCACGGGGCACCTGTGTTGCTCAGTCAAGCATCCAAGTTTGGCTCAGGTCATGATCTCACGGTTCGTGAGTTCGAGCCCCGCATCAGTCTCTGTGCTGATAGCTTGGAGCCTGGAGCTGTCAGATTCTGTGTCTCCCTCTCTCTCCACCCCTCCCCTGCTCACTCTCTCAAAAATAAATAAACATTAAAAAAAATAAAAACAAAAACAAAAACTTTCCTCAGAAAGTGAATTGATTTGAAATGTCACAGATAATTAATATTCCTCTAATTGCTGATTACTTTTATTAGGTACAACTCTAAACTTATAAGAATACTGTGATGTTTTGTTGTTTCATTTTTTATATGTATATTTATTTTGAATGAGAGAGAAAGAGCAAGCACAAGTGGGAGAGGTACAGAGAGAGAGGGAGAGAGAGAGAGAATCCCAGGCATGCTCTGCGCTGTCAGCAGAGCCCTACTCATGGCTCAGTCTCACAAACCATGAGCTCATGATCTGAGCCAAAATCAAGAGTCAGATGCTTAACCAACTGAGCCACCTAGGCACCCCTGTTTTGTTGTTTTAAATAAACACCATCCAAATGCATGTTATCTTGAAAAGAAAACTCCCTGGAAAACCTATATGCTGATGACAAATATGTTACCATTTTTGACACATTTTTCATATACTTCTGAGCTACTTTACCAGCTATCTAAATAAATAAACAAACAAACAAACAAACCTCACTACTTAATAACTTTGGTCTTCGGACCAAAGATGGTGTTACTTAGTTTGATGAACATCTTATTCCCCTTATATGGATATTTGCTTATTTGTAAAGTCAAGTCCACTTAAATAATAAAAAGTTGCCAACATTAATATGTTGGGCTATCAGGTCAGACTGTAGACCTGAGTCCATTCTTAGCATCCATTAACATGGATGTCAATGTGCTGTCTTCTTCACATAATTCCAAAGACGTGCAGAAACATAGCAGCATCATGGTATATACATAAATGCATTTATGTGTATGTTTATAAGGTGACTACTTTGACAGAAACACAGATAATTTGGATAAATTCTGGCCTATTTAAAATGAAGCTACATTGCCTTACATTGTATGTGGGGTGTTTCTTGTAGCAAATGTAAAAGCTGCAGAATAAGACGCAAATTTGGCTCATAATGCCCACATACATTGTATTTTATTTTAAATGAACAATTTTATTTACTTTCAAAATACCGTAATTGCTTTTCATTTGATATATTTCATAACTATTGTGAGCTTAAAATTATGAGGTAAGACAATCAAATTTTCCTTTTCCTTCCCTTTTTTAGCCTACAACCAAATCACAGTTAAATCCAGCATTTGAAGATGCATGGAGCAGCAGTGATGAGGAAGGATGACCATCAATCCTGAGTACCTCTGTGTCTCTGTTGATGAAACTTTTAAAATGCGACTGTTTTGTGTGGGTATTGTTTTCTTCTTAACTGTCCAGTGACAGCTAAATTATCATTAAAATTGGAATTTCTTTTTTAATTTAAAAAGAAGTCTTCCTCTAAGCCACAAATAACTGTATTGCTTCTTTCTAGTTCCATAAATATACATGCTCCTTATAAATAATTCAAATGACTTTTGAACAGTCACCTGGAACCATATCACCCTAAGGTAACTACTACTAACATTTTGGTGGCCATTCTTCCATGCATCTTTTTATAACATAATTTTACATAATGGGATGTTTGGCATGTTGCTGCTGTCATGGAAGTTCCTCTCCTCCCACATGAGCATCTCTCTCCCCATCCCTGACGACAGTCCACATTATTAACCAAGTATGTGTGTGTGTTCTTTCACATTTTACAATCCTATATGGACCTATATAGATATAGATGGGGAAGTATTTTTGTTTTGCAAAAATGGAATGTATACAGTTCTGTCTTGATTTTGTTTCCAGTTAAAGCTCATAGGAGTCCTTGTTATTTGGTATAAATAGGTGTTTGTCTATATTTTTGTTGTTTTCTGTATTCCTTATACTCTGGCCTTTGGGGCCTTGATCCTGGTGACACTGCCCTCTCCCAAGACTAGCTAATTCCTAGGGATAACACAGGACTCCCTTGGGAGCCTGCCTTTCATATACAAACCAACCAATACAGAGTCCATATCCCCAACCCTCATACACCAAGGCAATATTCTCCCTGCCCTAATTCACCCTAGGGCCACCCTTGTATGCCACGGTCTACTGAAATTATTCAAACTATCCAACACTAAACTTGGTGTACCTACCCTGCCTCACTCAATCCTTCCCACAAAAATTCCAGTAAAGGTTTTGACCCATTCTTTGCCCTTCCCTTTGAGAGGTGGCCTCCTGACCAATCCTGGCCCTTTTCCTGTGGCCCTGCATAGCATGGTGTGCCAGGTCTCCTGGTTTTAGGGATTTGTGAGTATAAACTTCTTCCATCATGACCATCTTCTCTGTGTCTGTATATCTTACCATACCTGCTGAGAACAAATCCCACGTAAAAATCTTAACACAGTTGGCACAACAAGCTGGGTGATTTGACACCAAATGGAAATTATATGTCCTCAAACTGCTCTTGGCTTAAAACTATATCTAACAGTCAGTAGTCCCTGCCTGAAAGGGCACCCCTGATTTTGGTGCACTTGCAGCTTGGTGGCTTCTGCATTGCGTTGTTTTTTTGTTGTTGGGTATTGCCCTGATATCCCAATCTAAAGGGAGAACTTGATATATTTCCCCACCTTGGTGGACCACCCGGAGTCCAGGACAGAAAGTTCCCTCCGAAGGGGATTAGGGGTGACCACCCTCCCATTGCCATGGGAGTTGAATCCATTGACTGGGTAGCACTGACCAGCAGTGAGGCCATCTGAGTCATGGAGATGGAAGTACCTAGTGTCTAGGGCATAATCGTCTGCATCCACTTGCTGCTGTCTTAAGTGAGTTGTTCCTGTAACCACAGGGTTGTAAGAGGTCCCATCTCTGGAATTCTATAAATATACACTGTTTAATGAAAAGAGGGAGGAAAGGAAAGCTCTTAAGAGATTCTGCTTATCAGCATGCAAAGCATCTCATGCTCAAAACAATGTTACAGGTAAAGTTGATGCCACCATTGTTCTCCAAGATGTGGACTGTAGCTCCTCTAAGGTTGATTGGGACGTCCTGGACAAGGGCGCTGTGGCTCACAACAGACACCACTCAAGACCACCGGGAGCTTATTGGACAACATTTAGAATATTTAAAAAAAAGAAAGAAAAAATTGAGCTGCCTAGAAATACAAGTCCTTCTAAAGGATTCTGTTTTTTAAAAGGTGGGAGTGTGAGGCAAGGACTGATTACTCTGTGCACTGGGCCATCCCAGGGAAAAGTTGCCTAGAGATACCTGGGCCCTGCTTTTCCTCTTATCAGCCAGAAAAAGAAAGTGAAAACTGAATCTTCAGAGGGCAAAAGCCTGAAAAGGGGAGAAAACCAAGGAAAAATGACTGACACTATAGGTAGTCACAAGCCCAGGGGAAAAAAAACAGGGACTTTCAGTCTTAGATACTAAGCAAATACCAGTCTAGCAAACACAGTGGTGGTCCTAAATTACTTACTGATATAAAAACAAAAGCAAGGGGCGCCTGGATGGCTCAGTCGGTTAAGCATCCAACTCTTGATTTCGTCTCACATCATGATCTCATGATTCATGGGTTCGAGCCCCACATCTAGCTCTATGCTGACAGTGCAAAGCCTGCTTGGGATTCTCTCTCTCACTGTCTCTCTCTCTGCCCCTACCCCACTCACTTGGGCATGCTCTCTCTCTCAAAATAAATAAACTAAAAAAAAAATTTTTTTAACAAAAAAAGCAGGCCCTTAAATACAAGCAGAGAAAGTAAAAGGTAATTAAATAATATATACATATATAATAATAAAACAAAGTTTTATAATCCAATTGGAAATCCAAAATTTATATACTAAGATTAATATACTGAAGAATTTATATAACAAAAATATAAAGAGGTCACCTTATGATGGGTTACTATAAGCATTAATGTTGTGGTCCCATCTATTCGTCTCCCCATACCCAATACTAAATATTAGGATTACTGATTCTATTCAAATACTGGTAAATATTTTGCTCTTATAGAGTTGGTCAGTGTGTTCTGTTTAGTGCCTATTTCAACAGCCTCTCAGCTGTAGTTTGCTGCCACCTTACAGGGACATAAGGAGTCTTTTCCAGGCTACCCATAAGGTACCTCTACAGCTTTTCCGTTGCATACAATCTGTAGACCAGATCTCAACTGCATCCGCCTTTTTCCAGGAGCACAGATACGACCTTATATTAATGGCATCCTCTTCCAAGGAGACTCATTTGATACATTCATTTAGGATATACATTCCAACATTTAGTACTTTTGGGGTTCTAATAACAACATATTCTTTACTTATAGATTTTACTTCCAAATTAAAATCAACAGGGACTCCCATTAGTGCTCTCAAGGACTCCACTAAAGGCAACCTCTCGTCATGCCTCCAGGAGTCTCTGGACCTTTAGGATATCCATAAGCTGCCCAAGGGCTTCTGATGCAAGAAACTGCCCCTCTTAGCCTTGTGCTATACTTCATTAAAACAACAAATAAATATATGCAGGGCTGTCTGGGAAATAGAGGCTCTCGCAGACCTGTCACCTTTCATACCCAGCAGCCTGTTACTCTTTAGGTCATGGAAATGGCACACTGGAAACTCGGTATAGCTACCAAGGCCTCCTTAAGATAAGATGGAGCCAAACCTGGGCTGTCTGGTATAATGCACCTGCAGGAGAAGGTGGCTTCCCCTATCCTCAGTCCTTTGCCAGATGCCATGGTGTTGGAGAGTGCTACCCCTCCCCTAGACCATTTGACCACCTGGGAAGACAGTTGGGATTAACTGAATGAACAGCAATGGGCACTGCTACCTGTCATACATGATGGAGTCAGCGGATATTGCTGCTTTTCATCTCTTGGCCAAGATGTCCGTAATAAAGGACAGGACCCAAGAAACAACACAGTTGGCCAAACTTCATGCAGTCATCTTAGTGCTGGATGTCCTAGCCAATCAGTAGTTTCATCTTCACATTAGTTATAAACTGTTGGGCCATTGCCTAAAAATTGTCCCTTTCAGGGAGAAACAAGCAAACTCTAGGACTCTCTTGCTTCACAGATAGCCAAAATCTAAATCAATTACACATCTCCAGCTGTATTAAGGTCACAATACAATGCCTTGCCCAGACACTCCATATTACCTTAGGAGTTATAGACACTACTTATAATAAGCAAGCTGTGCATTTTACTCCCCAAAATATGCAATGCTAGTCTTTTGGAAAAGGTATTCAATAGAACTTTCATGTCCCTTCTTGGTCCCAGATAGCTGGTTTGATTGGGAGATATAATGGCCTTCTCAAATAACTCCTTTTCAAATTCCATTCAGGTAAATGGACCCCTGAAGGGTCTCTTTCTTGCTCCAGACTTTACTCTCCTCTTCATTCAAGACCCTTTGGCCAAATTACACCTCACACCAGCTTAGAAAACTTTTCCATTGCCCTTTCCTATATTTAAAGGGAGATGTGTCTTGCCTCCATGTATATAAACATTTCATTATTTATGAGGCCCTTTTTATAATGTCTTTGCCTATCTTTATAAATTTTTTTATCATTCTCCTATCCCAGAAAGGCCAAAGGCCATTTCAAGGGAGCGTACTCTTCTGGGACCCATTAACCAGACTGCATGGACCAGAGAGCTGTTCATCTAATATGTGACTCATTTGAGCCTAAACTTCTACCAGAAAACAAAAACTGAGTCAACTGTTGACTGTTTACTGTTCACTGTTGGTCTTAGATCACTGTTCTGCATGATTTCATTAATTTCATTAATTAACCACAATCTGGAGGTCCAAATTCTCTAAATAAGCCATTGTTTCAACCAAACATGGCAAATGTTGAGACCCACATCACATCAAGTGAGTACCCCCTTGGAAAGGATACCCCATTCCACATCCTAGATAATATTGCCCCAGTCCAAGACCTCACTCTTGGGAGATGACTTCATATCGGGCACTAAAACCTTGGCCTCAGCAGTGCCAATGGGCTGCCTCTCTTAAGGCAAAAATTGGACACAGGATATTTTTGCTTTTCTTCCTTTAATAGTAGGGATCCCATGATGTTTATGAGCTTACTGTCTGCTTAGCCCATGATCCAGCCATGTTCTTTGTTCCCTGCTACTCCCACCCTCCCATGCCCATAGAGAAATCTTGTCAATGTTACTACTGTCTGTGCCATTCTAAATATTAATGGAGATCATTGCTTTCCCCAGAGGCACCTGCCTCATATCAGTAAAAATCCTTCAACCCTCTGGGGAGAGGATCACATACTTACCAAGAC